CTACACAGCCTTGAGTGTAAATGTGTTTTTGTGGCTATTTTGCGTTTTTTCTCAGCTTAGTGAGCAGAAAATCCCGTTTGGACACAAACACCCCAAACGTGCTGTTAATCCCTCCCCCTCCTCTCCTCTACACAACTTCCTGTCCTCCATCCTCCCCCCCTTAGGGTCGTCCGACGAGGTTTCTCTGGAGCAGGAGTCTGAGGATGACATGAACTCCTCCCGCACTTCACTGGACAAGCAGACACACCACCGTGCCAACACAACCATGCATGTGTGCTGGCATCGCAACACCAGTGTGTCTATGTCTGACCACAGCCTGGCTGTGGAGGTACTCCTCCCCTGCCCCCAATTACATGCAAACACGGCCATTTACATACACCAGCATGCACACGACACACACCAACAGCACGTACGTCAAACCTCCCATCTTCATACCAGCATCAGTGGAGTGAGCGGAAATGGCTTTGCATTCTGTTTTCTTGTGAACCCTTTAACGCCTTTTAAATGCTCTTTTTTTTTTTTTTTTTTCCCACCTTGTTTTTCCATTTTAAGTTCTTTAAGGCTCTAACAGTCAATTTCTCCTTGATAGATCATCTTCTGTTCTTTATGTGCATGCAAGAACCTTCCTCTGACACTGGCTTTTCACCCCACAGACCTGAAGGATTTCCTAACATGCTCTTCTTTCCACTTCTCAGAGCTAACATGCTAACACCCTCTTGTTCCTTTTTCCCCGCCTCTCTCTCTCTTCGACCTCCCTCAGTCTTCGGTTCTCCGGCTGTCTCACCAGAACTTCCTCCTCGCTATCTCCTCGGTCAGGGCCAAAGACCAAATACCATCACACATGTTTGCTGGTACCGAAACCAGAACCTCTCTCTCACTGATTACCTGCGCATGAACCAGGTACTCGATCCACTGACCCGGAAGAGAATACTGAGCTACACAGTGACTGTGTTCCCTCCCTAAAGTCATAAGGAGTTAGAATTGATGAACACTGATGGTGGAATTCCAAGAAATACAAACATCTAAAGTGTTTATTTGTTAATTTATTGCTAGAATTACTACTTTGTGTCTCAGGAGATGCATTCAAAACAAATTAAAGTCTCCATTTCAGTTTGGATCTTCCTACCAAAACAAATAATGTTAGATAGAAGAATTATTAGAAGTAAAGCACGCAAAAATGAAGGCAACACGAGCATTTAGATAATGAAGAACGGAAAATGCATATTTTAAATACCAGATTGAAAAGTTGGAAGCAGAGCGAAGGAGCCAGGCTACCTCAGGCTGTAGAGCTTGAGACTCAGCTCCACGGCTAATTCTCCCTGTTGAGTAGACTCCTTAGTGTACTGAATAGAATTATATAAAAAATTTAACAGAAGCATGAAAGCAAAAATGGTTTGTTTTTAAGGTTTGGGTTTTTTAAATCAAAATCTGAATCAGAGTTTAAGCAAGAACTGATATGCTCATGCTTGTATCTCTCCTCGGTTGGACTAAGATGGTGGCGATTTCAAATTTTTAGATGCAAATCAGAGCTGAGCTGAGTGTTGGCAAGCCAGAGTTTACTGTGCCAGGAAGGTCTCTCCTTACCTGGTTAAATCACCATGGTAACGCTGAACAAACTGAATGAATCGTCTTCTACTCGGCAGCTAACGCAGAAGCACATTAGCAAAACCAGCAGAGTTACAACCACTTGTTGATGAAACGCAGGGTTAGTGAGGCCGTGTATCACATGGACATGCATGAGCAAAACAAAACTACTCGGTTATAATTACTACAGATCAAACTCCACCTTCAGAGCGCCAGCATGCATTAACTCTTTCACCTTAGAATTAACACACAAACGTGCATTATCTACAGATCACATGAATTAAACTTTAAACTCCAGCATTAAATCCATTTAATTTTAGCAATCATCAGTGTCTAACCTTGTTCCTTTCTCCTCTTTCCTCTGTAGAACCAGCTCTCGGGTTATCTCCTGAGGAAGTTCAAGAACAGTAACGGTTGGCAGAAACTCTGGGTCGTTTTCACCAACTTCTGCTTGTTCTTCTATAAGACACATCAGGTCAGCCCTCATAGATCTCCGACAGAGTTCGAGCCCACGTAAAAGCACGTCACTGAGGTGTCTGTCGATGTCTCGTTTGCAGGACGACTTCCCGCTGGCTAGCCTTCCACTGCTCGGCTACACGGTCAGCACGCCCGAGGAATCGGACAGCATTCACAAGGAGTATGTCTTCAAACTTCAGTTCAAGTCTCACGTATACTTTTTCAGAGCAGAGAGCGAGTACACCTTTGAAAGGTACGTTGATTCAGGTCAGTTGATTCCTCCAACCGTGCAGTTCTTCATCCGTCAGATTACAGTAGCATGTTTGCTCTTCACAGATGGATGGAGGTGATCAAAAGTGCAGCGAGCACTACAGGCAGGATGAGCCTCCTCATACCTAAAGGAGGTCCCATGGAGATCAACGGAAACTGAAATGAGCGTCGTGTATCTGGAGGCTGGGCCTCTGGGGCATCAGAGACTTGTCGGTGTCATTTCTATGTGAAATAGACATTTAAACATTAACAAATGAAAGATACTGCCAGTTTCAAGTGTTAACATTTTTCTTCTTGATTCTAATGGTCTCTGCATTTTGCTTGATTAATGATGTAAATGGTAACATTTTTCCCACTATACAGGATATAATGAAAGGGAGAGGTGTACATTATGAGCTTTTTTTTTTTTTTCCTGCATATGTTGTCTTCTTGTTTCTTTGATCGCATAGACTGATGGGAGATGCTGTTTTTATGGGACCAACACAAAGGGCTTAAATTCAGGTTTTCTGAAGGACTGAAGCTTTACTGGGTACAGTACTGTACCGGGACTGACTGGGATACAGATGAAATACAGTATGTGGGAAATGAAGGTACTGCAAATTGTATGTGCTCTCTAAACTGTACTTTGAAAGCGCTGAGGGCATTAGTGAGGAAGAGGTGAACGGGAAGGTAATGAGATGCTGAAGCAAGTGGGAGACTCGAAGATTTGGGAAGTTTTAGGGAATTCACGCTGCTGCGAGGAAGCAGGATTTGTTTCTATACTCTGAGGCCAGACCTGATTGCTTTATTTGCTCCGAGTGGGAGAATGCAATCAGTGTTTGAAACTTTTAAAAGGGAGCTGTTGTGTTTTATGCGCCTGGTTAGTTAGGCAGCGTTAAGGTCAGTCTGGTGCTACAGTTCTCTCTTTTAATATCTCATGTTTCCTGTTTTTATGACCCATAGGGATTAACTACTTGAGGACATGCTGTGCAACAATTTTTTTTCTAGTGTTTACTTTGTGAAATTTGCAGATTTTCCTTCTAAAAGCTAAAGAGAACATATTTTTAAGTAATCGTTTGAGGATGACTTGCCACATGTCAGACTTTTACACGAATGGGAGCTGCACAGATAATGTAGCGTTTTACATGAATCCATGGTATTATTTGGTTTATATATTTTTAAGAAGACTGGAATCTTGTCACTCTGTGTGTGATGTGTTTATATATATTTTTTTGTGTGTGTGTTTGTGGTGAAGCCAAGCGTGCAGTCCTACTTGCACCTCCCTCCCCCTCCCCACCTCTGGAGCTTAAAGAGAAAGTGATGATGGAGGTAATCTCCGAACCATCAGGCATTCTGTGCGAGTAAGAGGCAGACTCTGCTGCACACTTAACCAGTATGTTATTCCTATTTATTGTGTAGGATGTCGTCAGGGCCAGGCTCCTGAATACGCTCATGTAGTCTTCATGTTATTCCATTTAAAAACCTAACAAATAAAGCATAATTTGAATCGGACTTCTTGTGGCTTTGTGCTTACATTGATGCCCGTTTACTACTTTACGTTTAAGACATCAGTTATATGTATTTGGTTCAGTTGACCTAATAAAGTTTGCCTCATTTACTGTCATGTGTATATTGTTTCAATGGTGAATGCTCAACTTAAAAATACCTAAATGTTTTCAAAAGTTATGCTGTGGGCACAGAAGGCTCTCCCACCTAATGATTTTTCTTGTTTAATCTTTATTTACCCAGGAAGTCTTAATCTCTTTTGCTGTCAAGATAAGCAGCATGGACCCAAGTACACATTGCATTTTCAAAGCAACTGAATTTACTTTTTCTGAAGATGTGAACTTCAAAGAAATTAACATCACTGCAATAAACAGCCACCCGAGCTTCATATTCATATGGCTGAGAAATCCTGTGCAAGTATGAGAGCATGCACAATCTGTACAGATGTCTCCAACCAAGGTGGAGCTTTGGCTCTGTTTTGAAGAAAAAAAAAAAAGTCACCATTCTGCTGTTCAAACCCCCTTTCAAAAATCAACAGCTAAGAAGGAAGAAAGGCTTTAAAGGAGGAAGAGGAGGACCACAATTATTTATTTTAGATGCAGGATGAACTCCGGGGCTGCCCCAAGGCTGAATACAAGATAAATTTAAATTATTTTTAACACTGCATCATGCAAATCTACTGCAATAACCCCCAAGAAATTAGCATAATAGTTCCCCTTTATGATCATCTCTAGACAAGTTGCACAAAATCTTCACTTCCTATAAAAGTCAGCCCATCTTTATGCAACACTAACATTTGACCAGACTAGCTTTTGAAAGCATTGAAAGAAATTCTTCATTTGTCTCTGAAATTACTTTATTAAATAGAGTGGAACTTATCTAATAATGGTTTTCTTGTAGGGTCTAAGTACATTTTAATATCTCAGATCTGTTGCTTTACATAATGAACATTAGATAAAACCTTAAGGTCACATATGACTACTTGTAAAAATTGAATATAAAAACATAAGGAGGCATTTAACTGTACATAAAACCAGACAAAAAGCATCTAAAGTGTTGGGATGAGAAGAGGTTTCACTTGCATGTTGCCTAGTTAAGTGCACATTATCCACAAGTAACCAAACAGAAAAATGTGTCAAGTTTCACTGAGTAATTTCAAAATACAGGTATCATTTATAGAACTGACATAATTTATATGTACAAAACAAAATGTTTTAGTCTTGATTTGAGACTGAGACTGTCAGAAAATAAACACACAAAATTAAAACTAGCGTGACAAACTAGTTCCCCACAGCTACGCTGATCACGGCATGTATTTTCTCATATTAACTGCTGGATCTTATGCCAGACTTGGCTGAGCGAGACGACTTTGAAACATGCAGAATTTCATAGTTTGGATTTCAAGGAACGAGCCACATCCCCCATTAATCAAATTAAGCATTTGCTCATGTATAGATAGGATAATGAGGTTAAACAACATATTTAAGAAAATGCCAAATTGGAATAGTGAGCTGGAAGTGTAGCCTTTACTTTACACCTGACTGTACAGCAGTATTGATGAGACTGCTGCTCACCTGAGAAATAGCATCAGATCTGCACAGCTTGCATAACCTGAACCACAACGACGGTAAAATGTACACACTTTGTGCTGGACTTTTTGAAGATAAATCAGATAAATCAGCCTTCTCCCTGTTCAGGGTGAGACTTGCAGTTTGGGGAGTTGTTTTTTTTTATGTCTCATGTATTACAGAGGATCTGCAAAAAATAATGCCAGTCAGTCATAAACAAAGCAGGGCATTCCTCAGGCTTGTCCAAACAGCACTGAGCAGTGGGTGTGGTGTCTTCCCCAGAAATGCTGATACTGCTCGTCTGCCAAGCTGATGTGTTCAAACATTTTTCTGCTGGGGAGTGGTGAAGGCGTGTCTCCTTTACTTTTCAGACAACAATGTGCCTCCACTTCAGAAGGGTCTTTGTGGCTGTCAGTAATGATGACTGAATTAGTTCTTGTTTGATTACCTTTGTCGCTAAGTTTTTTTTTTCATTTTCTTCACTTCACAACCTTTATCTGCATTAACACAGAGTTCTAAGATTACAGCTTCTGATTTCTGCCTTGATAAACTGAGTAAAGTGGTGCACCGTGTTGCTTTCTTTATCACGGCTAACTCTTATCTGTGCTGGACGACTGTGTCACAGAGGGTTCCCATAAAAAAGTGACCTCCCTCATTTGAAGTACATTATGAAAAAGGCGGACACCGTGTGACTTTGAGCTTATCTCCTCCTGTGAAATGTACAACAACAGCTGTGAGTCCACCACAACCACCCAGCCCCTATTTGGTTTAAAGGAATGATTTACTTTTGTAAGAAATGTGTGCCAACCTGTTTTCTTGCTGAGCTGGACAAGACGCTTGACGTGAACCAAGCTTTGTGTTTGTCGTAGCCAGAAACAAATCAGATATATTCCCATTACTGGACATACTCCAGTCGATGACGATACTGCCTGCCACTTCTGGCTGTGAGATCTCTAGACAAATAACCAAATCAACACTTTGTGCACTCAATTAAAGATTAGAATGACTTTGTAGTATGTTGTACTGACAATCTGATATATAGTTTTATGTGAAAATGGCTCTAGTGAGTGCTAATGTTATCTTGGACACGGCAAGGCTAGCCCTTTCTCAGACTAAGCCAAACGGGCACAAGTGTTATCAACTTCCAGATAAATAAATATGATTGATATCAAATATCAAACTCCTCCTTCAGCCTTCAGTGCAACAAAAGTGTTAAAAGGCCCGAGAAAGAGAGATCCCATTTCTCTCATATTGCCTTCTCTAAACTGGTTTCTTTAAAATCCAGAACTGAATGTCAAGTCTTCTCTTCACATACAAAGTCCTGAATGATCATGTAGCATCATATTATCCCAACATAGATCTTTGCCCTTTTACCGCAGGCTTACTTGTGGCTTGTAGATATTTGTAACAGTACAATCGGAGGCAGAGCCTTCGGTTTTCAGGCCCCTCTTCACTGGAACAAGCCCCCACTTTGGATTCAGGAGGCAGACACCTACTAGCCTTCAAACTTTCCTTTTTGATGAAGCATAGAGTTAAGTTTGGATCAGGTGACCATAAACCCTGAGTATTTGTGTTCCACTCACCTCTTTTAACTCCTCATGCATTTATATCCCACTGTTGCATGTCATTAACACGCATGTGTGCTGCTGTCTTTAATACGCTGTCAGAAAGGCACGCGATTTAATGGTGGCTATTAAATGGGTTTGGCTTTGTTGTGAAAGAAAAATTGTGTGCAGTAAAAGATTACATCACAATACTGCTTTCATCATGTCCATTTTCATTTTCTAATCTGAGACAGAGGGCTTTTTATTAACATTTTACTGTTGAACTGCCTTTTAATCTCTTCACAACCTGCTTTCAGTTAACTAAATACCGCTCTCATGTTCCAGTATGATCCCACACTTGATTTAACCACGCACGTTTTGTTTTCATTTAAACTACATTAAATACTTCATTGCTTTCCACAAATCAGAACTACTTAAGTTTAAATTACAATTTTTCTTGTAGACACACCTTTAATAAAAACAGTTGTTGATTAACAGCTGAGACACAACTGGGTCATGTCCTGTATGTGTGTGTTTTATATAAGGTGGGACGGGGGCAGAGGGGCGGTGCTTGTGTTGCTACAGCTTATCTCCGCCTTTGACTCCACAATAAGTTCCCTTAGAAGGAAAGCCTGCCTGCTGACTGTAAACTGGAAAGCATTTTTTACACTCAGCGTGGCAGTAACTCATTAAAAGTCAGTGAAAACATTTTCTACTCACCGCGAGATTAAAATGCAGCACACTTAGGATGTCGGGGTTTTTTACCTTCTCGACATAGTACTTCGGGTAAGTGCGCTTGAATGATGTTTGATGCCCGCACACCTTTAAGGATTCATACACAACTTTTCAGGTATAGTGCCAAGCTTCTCCTTGAAGTCTCCATCCTGGGTTTTCGACAGACTTTGATTGCGTTTGGATCCTGGAGCTTTATCTAGGCTATCAAAAGATATTCACAAACTAATGCCCGTGTTTGTTCTGCAGGATAATCTCCACAAGTCTTACTTTCTCTTAGCAGAGAGACGGGGCAGAAGGAGAAGGTTCGAAGAGGGGGCGTCCAGTGGGGAGAAGCGGCCGCTGAGCGAGGCGGTGGAGGCGGTGAGGTGAGGAGGGCACTCAGAGGAGGGTGACGGGGGCATGGAGATGTTGCGTCGCTCCTCTGTGTTTGCCTCTGAAGTGTTTGACCGCTCGCCCACCGACAAGGAGCTGGTGTCCCAAGCCAAAGCACTGTGCAGGGAATACATCCACTCCAGGCTGAACCGTGCCGGGATCGGCTGGTCCAAGCCTGAACACGGACTGGCCGCATCAGGTGGGACACTGGGAGAGATATCGTCGGTCCTGCTGTGGCTGGGTAAGTTTTCGGGAAACGTTCGTGCGTTTTTTGCGCACAATAGTACACTTAATTCAAACAGACACCCGCGATCACCTTCAAATGTGTGTTTAATATTCAAAAATGTGTCGTATTCCTGGTAAATCCTAATATGGTTTCCGAGAGCGCTGAGTTCACCTTTCACGTTTTTGTGCAGCCAAATGCCACAATATTCTATCTTCTATAGAATATATCTATATTTTAATCCTTTAAATGGCCAGATTGGGATTTATGATAAAGATATGTCTTTATTTTATATTTATACGTATAAATAAATAAACACGTAAACGACTTTATCGGAGAACACCTTTATTATTTAGAGAATCATGACGTGATTCCCAGGAATCCCCATAATAAAGCTAAGGTCACCGTTTAGTTTGCGTAATATTTTTCTTTCTGGATGCTGGCCCAGTATAAAAACTGGTGTGGTGGATTTTCTTCCTCTGGGAGGATTCACTTTACCATGCGTGGGGAACTTCCCACTTCCAGATAATTCACTGGAAGTTCATGTTGAAACTCGGCTGCTCAGCTTTGAAAATCCTGGAGGGGTTACACTGTTGCTAAATAGTGAAACTGAACAAAACCACTTGTACCCTTCTAAGAATAGAGTTACAAAACACTTCGACAATAATGAGACTTTTTTCATAAATAGTTCACCTTTTTTGATAGCAGACTAATATCTGGCAAAATAACAGAATAACTCCAAGCAGGGAGGACCAGTCTAGCCATGTTCTGACCAAACTCACTTAATTCCAGCATCTTAAAAGCTCACTAACTGATATGTCATATCTGGTTTGTTTAATCTCAACAAAAACTATGTTGTGTAAAAACATTTATGTCACAGAGGTTTTTTTTTGGCCGGGTCAGAGACTCCAGGATGTTATTGGTATCTTTGGAAAGTTTAGCTCTTTTCCTCTGCTTTCAGTCTTCCTACAGTGCTCAGTTAATACTTTCACTAAAGTGTTTACTGTTGAAAGGGTTCCATTAAGATTCAAAGAGATGATAAACCCGTGTTTTATCACCGGGCAGTGTCCCTTTGTTTCTTAGTCAGATCCGGTGCTTGGCTGTCATACCCTGATTTAAAATACAAAGATGGGAACAGCCAATGAATGTATGTAACAGATAGAAACAGCTTCTGGGTTAGAAAAGTGAGACCAACACAGAAGTGCTTTAAACCTGATTCTTTTGAACAGTCGTCTGGTTCTATAGAAATCTATGAGAAAATGTCTCCGCTGCTCTCTGCACCTATGACTTCTACAAACACTTTGCTGATGTGTTTATGAATTCAATCACTAGTTTCAATTCTTACTAAATACAACTGATGTTCATTAGGTAAATTATGATCCACACTGGAGTCCAAAGGGGCAGTAAAGCGCGATATCCTTTAGGGCATGGCTGTGTTGTGATTGTCACCTCTTGCTTGTGACGGTTGAGGCTTCACAACTTCACCAAAGAAGTTCTGAAAACTCAAAAACTGACTGACTGGCTTAATAGGGGGTTGCCTGCGAGATAGTCCAAGCTCAGCTCAACGCTGAGTTGTTGCCTGTTAATATAAATTTTATACTGTAAACATTTTTTCAATTTTTCTTATTTCTTTGATAGAAGAGGTTGGGTCTATAGATTAGATTTTTTTACAGTGTCTTAATTGCAGTAAAACATCTTTCTGTGAGTATTAGGGAATGACATACGGGACACTTTACTGCATGCACCAAGATGGTTTCACACCTCAGGTGAGCAGGCCATTTTCAGTACCAGCCTCCTGATGACCGGTCAAACCAGCTGCTTCTTATAAACACGTGACTTCCTGTTTTGCTGTAGCTACACTCCCTATTTGTCATTTTTCTCGCTATTTGTCATCATTATTATTTAAAAACGGTTCCATGGAAGGAGGCCGTGTTGTGAAGTCTTAACCCACCAATTAGCCCACATTAGCAGAATGTAGGCTAACCAGCAGTTTATTGGTGATATCAAAACCACTGTATGAGTAATTAAAGAACATTATTATTGTTTCCTTTCAATTAGGCCGCATAATTTAAACTATTTTAGTTTTTTTTTGGCCAGAAGTAGATTTGCATTCAGTGAGGTCAATTTCAGCTATTTTCAGGAACGACATGATTAAGGAAATGGGTATCTTTACATTGGGTTCAACTTCACAGTGACATTGTCCATGTTTAATATACGATCTTTGCTCTTTGACCAAGCCAGGGTGTCTAACTGAGCAAAAGTGCTTCCCCAGTAAATCAAAACAATTGACAACATTTTTCCAATTAGATCAAATACAAAGTATTTTGTAAAATGCAAAGTATTTTATTCAGTAATATCTCTCAAAAGTCATATCTTTTATACGGCATTATCTAAGGTGGTCAAAATTGCCTTTATTAGCCATATGACTAGCTACTGGACGAGATAGCTGTGGCTTATAATGTGTAATAGTTACTTTTAAAAGCCACACTTTTTTAAAGTGAGAGCTTTGACTGAGTTTGCTTTCTCTTGTTTTGGACAGGCGATGAGTTGGAGTACCTTCGTCCCAATGTGTACCGTAACGTCGCCCGACAGCTGAACATCACAGTGGCATCGGAGAGCGTGGTGTCCGACGCCTTCCTGGCTGTCGCTGCAGACATTTTCTCCACAGGTCGGTCAAAATCTGGAAAATCAAGCCATGCAGATCTGCATCACAGGAACTAATGTTGGTGCTTTCTTAACTGGTCTAACCTGTACTAACCTGGACTTCAAAATGAAAAAAGGGAACGTATTTTGGTTATCACTGGGAAGGAGGAAGCCTGAGACAGACAAAATAAAGATGTACTGAAAGTTTGGAGAACTGAGTTACTTTACTTATTTTTACAAATTGCAAATGGCTAAAACGTTTTGTATAAGTGATAATGCCGCCCGCTATCGTGTAAACACTTCTTATTTAGGCTCACCACAGGATTCTCCATTAGTGAGAGACATTTTTAGGGCTGCCATTATCCCCCTCAAATGAAAGGAGCTGGAGGGAAAACATTCAGTCCATATTAGGTTAACGCGATGGTGGAGCGAGTGATTGTTACAGACAGTTTGGACCCCACCCAAGGAGTTCAGACATGAATCCCAGCTGGGTTATTCTTCAGGGAACTTTAACAAAGCAGTCTGATGAAAAGGTAATGAACAGTTGGCTGGAGACGAGAGAAAATCCAGTCAGTCTGGTCCTCAGTAATGTTCAGAGTTACTTAGTAATTCAAATGTAGCGAACTTAAAGATTATCTGCCTTAATTCTCACAGTTCACAACTGATTATGATAACTTACAAAGGGAGTTCAATACCACGGGCAAAAAAGGGGGGAAAAAGGTCTCACGTCACAGTCTCATGTTGAAAACTTGCGTATCAGTGAATACAGTGTAAACATGGACAAACCGCAGTGCCGACAGAAGAAGAGAACAAAGAGGAAGTCCTGAGCAACAGCAGATTATGACCACAAACTTGTGTAATCTGCACGAGCACAGTTAGAAATGTCATTTAGCTCTCCGCACGACAAAGATAAACTACAGCGGCAATATGTTCAGGCATCGTAACGCAACCTGCGCAACAGTGTAGCTGTAGTCATTTAGTCATGTAGTCGACACACACACAGACTACACGACTACACTGTTACAATTTCCATTTCCTGTAGTACTAAGTATATATTAATTATATAAAAGTAAACATAGATAATAATATAATAATAGATATTTTACACCCCTTCTGATGTTGTGTGTCTTATTGTAAAAGTAACCACAAGTGAAAGCCTTATTTAACTCCAGCTGGTTTTCTCATTCACAGCACCTAAAACTTACATAGTGTTGTTTTTGTAGCAGCAGGGAGATCATACTTGAGTATGGCTTGAATGTTTTTTTGGTTTACTTCCTATCGAGTACAGCTTAATTTTCATTATATTTTACCTTCATACCTTCATGTCCTTTTCAAACATTTAAAATCTTTCTGAACAGTTCAAAAAAACTACATTCCTGACCTATCAGATGTTGATAGTAGTATGAAATATGCAGAAACTTTAGAGTATCATCCTGCAAGTTTCCAGATTTCCCCTTCAAAGAGATCAGACGACAGTTAGAGGAGATGGATGAAGCCGAGGCTCGGTTTGTATGTGTTGGACATATAAACATGACAAAAATAGTCCGAAGCACTGACTGTAAATGGTGTGGCGGCAGAAAGCTCTACTGAGCGCGCAAGCTTAGTTGGAGAAATGATGTGCTCACTAATCTAGCGAGGCATTCTGCCTGCCGTCCCAGATCTGGTGTTTGGGTTTTCCCCATTGTGGGACAGAAAGGCATGCAGGCCTCCTGCTGAGATTGAATAATTTGTTCATCCACCTTTAAAGAAAGCTGCTGACAGACACATTTGCTGAATTAAATCCTACTGCAGTTATTCAAGTGGAGAGCAGGGTCTCTCCATTTATGAAATAATGACTTTCAGTATGTGCTCACACATCAGACAGCAGGACATTGATGCTTCCATATGTTTAAGTAAAGATGTGGTTTATTTTCTCTCATAAGGTGTGACATGGGGAAAGGTGGTTTCCTTGTACGCTGTGGCGGGAGCCTTGGCGGTGGACTGTGTACGCCATGGTCATCCAGCAATGGTCCATATCATTGTCGACTGCATGGGGGAGTTTGTCCGCAAGAGCCTGACTTCCTGGTTAAAAAAGAGAGGAGGCTGGGTAAGGATGACTTATTATTACTTGTTTGTATGTTTCCGTAAGCGTGTGTTAGTCTGTATGAATGTAGGACTATGTGGCAGCTATGAGACAAGTAACTGAAAATGACAGCCGGCAGCTGTGGGTTCGGTTAAGTGTCAGTAAGAGCTCATAAAACCAAAGAAGAGAGGAAGCCATCAGCTAGTCTAGTCTGTTAAGTTAATGCAGTTCCCCACTATGACTATAACCTTAACCAACCACAGCCTGCTTATGTGTTGTGGTTTCTCTTTGCCGCTCTTTTCAGTCTTCTTTTTCCCCCAGGCAAAACAGATGACTGCCCCTCCCTGATCCCGATTCTACTGAAGCTCTCTTCCTGATTAAAGGGAGTTCTTCCTTCTTACTGTCACCAGTTGCTTGCTCATTTATAATCACCTGATTGTTGCATTCTTTCTCTGATGTTGTAACGACTTTTTCTTCCAATATAAAGTGCCTTGAGACAACTATTGTTACCTAGTGCAATATTTCAATTTATTATTTAATATTTAGCTCTGCCATTACTAAAATGGCTTTCCTAAATGCAAAGTAAGACCTCTGTTACATATTCAGGTATCTGTGTATGTACATTAGGAAACTCTCCCTCCACATATGCTGAGAAATATTTTATTCTTTGTAAAAATGTACTGAACTGAGACGGTGAACGTGTAGAAGGGATTTATGGCTGCTGTAAAAATAGTGCTCACTTGCCCCTTTTCCCACGCTATGTGTGATTTACTTACATGCAGTCAGAAACTTTGCTTTAGGCTCTTCGAGCAGGGTTGAAATTGAAACTGGAGCTTTGTGTGGACATGTAACTTCAGAGTCCCGCTTTTCAGTTTTGTGCTTTGAGTTGACGTGAGGCGATTTTTCTTTTCTTTTCACACAGCCTTCGTGATACATTTCAGTTCATCAGCTGCAGGTCTTTTCTATTTGTCATACACCGACAAATGTTAATGAATAGTTGCATGTTTTCAGAAGCTTTCTGAAGATTTACCGAGCTCAGGATTTTTACTGACAGCTTGATCTCACATTTTCACTGAGAGCGCACACCCTGCTGTGCTGGGTGTGGTGGTTATCAATCGCAACGTGTGTGTCTGCGTGTGTGATTCAGCGTACAGGGATTTTTATTTCATTAGATAACAACTTTATTGAAGCAAATAGGGTTTATTTTAAAGAAAGACAGCACATGCACACTTTTAAATCTAAATAGTCCCTCTGAAGCAGCATTTTCTTATCATTCAGTCCAAGCTGCTGCTGGTCTCCCTGGCTCAACCTCACTGCTTTGTGTTTTCACTCACAGCTCTTCCTTTTTTGAACTTTTTGGCATCCAGGTCAACTATAGTGGATACATAAGATCAGTTACTCCTAAGGCCCTAGCAGAGTAATCTCAACTGATCACATTAATTGTGGGCATAAATCAGAGAACATTGATGAAAACATTTTTGTTGGTCAAATAAACTTAAGAATTCCCTTAACCCTTTCACACATGGTGGTCACTACAGTGGCCAGTTATTCAAAGGCTATTTTCTTGTATTTGTGTCAGTTTTGATGGTATACATGCACATAAACCACTACACTGGACACTGATGTGTCATCCCATACCCTGCCACCCACTGGGCGTTTAATGTTACTATAGATGTATGACGTGTTTCATTGTAATTGTTATTTAACCCTGTCGTGCATGAATTATGACAACCTCAATCAGGATTTTTTTCTTAAGTTTTTCTTAAGTTTCCTCTTTTCTTTTCATGCCTAAAGATGAATAAAAATGTTGATTGAGGTTGTCATAATTCATGGATGAAAAGGTTAAAGCTTGCCGAAAGTCTGACTGTTTGACTTTTGATTTTAACCTTTTTTGATTTTAACCTTGATTTATGTGTGTGTGCGTCTTTTGTTTTATACGATCTGCTTTGAGCAAATTGCCCCTTGACGAATTTGGCTCAATTGAAGTTAAACCAAAAAGATTGTATTTAATACTTTAAATTAAATTCATTTCAAAAATAACATTTTTGTTTTATTTAGCTGTGATGAAGTTCGTCACAACAGTAGCAGAGGCTGGGAGGAAACAAATCAGCGAAGCTAACTATATTTCATTGTTATTAATCCTCTCAGTGCTTGTCGGCCTAATTTAAAAACAGCATGCCCCGCCTGTGATTGGTGTGTCATATCGTGTTACACCCACCCAGATCAGATTTGCAATATCCTTTTGTTTTAAAATAACTCGAATTCTTTGTTTACAAAAAATGGAAAAACCTGGAACAAATGGTTCAGACAGAAAGGGGATGATCTTCTGTAGAATTGTGTTTATAGGAATAGCCTATCTGATAAAGTCCTGGACAAACATTAGTGTGTGAAATGGAACGATGCCTGACAACGTGCCCCTGTCCACGTTCTGCTCTGCTGGAAAGAGCACATTAATGCCTTTCCAGCAGAGCGAACCACAGGCCCGTGCGCTCTGAAACATGGCACCCGAGCCTGTTTTGTTCAGAGAGAAGTGGAGTGTGACGAAATGGAGAGCGATGCATTGTATAACTGACCTCCTGAGTACAAATGAGCGACCTGTTTTTCACTCTAACCCAGAGACGTCTGCTCTGACAGATGATGTCAGTGTGTGGGGAAAACCTAAATAACGTTGTGTGACTGGGAAAAGCGGCAGGAGCTGAAGGAGGAGAAGTGTTTAGTGTCAGAGCTGACACTAAACTGCACTCTCTGTGGTATTTCATTGTCTGTAAAAGTCTGAGTAGATGGCCTCGTATTGTAAGCAGTGCTCAGAATTAAGTGTGGGCTCTGGCTTTAAAATGGCATTCTTGTGGGCTAGCTGCATATCTGCAGATTGTCAGATTAGTGGAAAATGAAGGACACATGTTGAAATTGTAAGGTCTTCTTGTGTCTGTTAAACCCTGTGAGAACCAAGTCATCATTCACGAAGAGAAACTCTAACCATCTGTTTTGGAAAAAAATCCCCAAAAGGACTCTTTGGGGAAAAAAAGTAAAAAATAGCTTTTGATGTGTGTCAGTCAGAAGGTTTACTTTCTTCTATTCTATTTATTTTTGTCCCCTGATTACCAAGACTTGGGAGAACAGCTTTCAAAAATAACATACTCTCACAGCCCGGGGACAGTGCAACTTAGACTTCAGAGGGTTAAAACAATAGACTGTAAATAAACGATGGATATAGCCACTGTGACATCATGATATGTGAAATTCTGCTTTGAAAGAAAGCTTAACAGCCACTGACAGCTTTGATTTTTTTGAGCTAGAGGTGTATTGTGTCAGGTTATTGGTTAAAGTTAGTTAGCTGATTAGCAATCAACTGAAAAACAAGTCAGCTTTATAGCACTAGAAATGCTGTTCATAGCCTTCTCCAAAACAGTTTGGCCCTCTATAGACAGTGTTTAGTTCAAACTCTTAACTTTCCTCTGCCTTATTTCAACTGTCTCATCCTCATGATATTAGCCCTAAGTGTGTGAGTGTGTTGTCTCTCCTTTGTGTTTTGTCGGTATGTTGTCTTATGGACTTTGTATTTTTGGGACTGCTTATCAAACTCTCTTAAAGGTGTGTTTTGTGTTTAGCGCTCCCTCACTTAGAGTTGGCTCCTGGGTTCTAAACCTGCATCATATGACAAGTATTTTATTAGTCTGCTACTTAAAATTAATAAGCAGGTATTTGTGTCTTTGCTTTGCACCCATACAGACAGTGAGGTCAAGTGCACTGTAACTTAAGAAAAGACCAGAAAATACAGCAATGCTGTAAAAGCACACAAAACACAATGAACGTTAAACAAAACAAAATAGAAAAAGGGAGTGTTATTGTTTCCCCAGAAACATTTCCAAGGTGTTTTGTTAGATTTTGTTGTTTTCTACTTCTGTTGTATTTCATGGAACTTCATGGAACTTCCTTTGTGTTTTGTGTGGTTTTGCAGCATTTTCCTATTTGCTGGTACTTTTTTGAGTTGCAGTCTGTTTGACCTTTCAGGGCTACCGTACACACAGTATATGGATGCAGCTTGTTAAAAGCTAGCTTTAGCTAATAACTTAGCACTACAGTCTTTTATTCAAATACGTTCTCTTCTAGCTTCAAAATATTTACATGGTGACTTCAAAATGCCAAAACAAATGGTTGATGTTATCGTTGCTACATTCATTCTTTATATACAGTTCATGACTCACAGAAGATGCATCTGGAAGACACAAACATCTACTTGTTAGAGCTAAGTAACACAAAAAATACTTACATTTGACTCACCTAAGCAGTAGCACAAACTTCACAAACAGCTAAAATTGAGACATGTCACATGTTGAGTGGGCCGGATTAGTGATAAATTGATTATAACCATACAACAGGGGAATTATGTAAAAATAAATAAATCAATAAATCATTTGTACAGTTGTTATAAAGGGGGGAAATTGGCTCAAACTGTTTTCTGTATCAGGTGGTGAAGATGTTGATTTCTCCTGAAAAGTTGGATATCTTGGTTGCTTTTTATTTTTAGCCACAAAGGTTGCCACTTGTGTGAAACTTACTTATCTTTATTCCTCTGTGTCCCCCTGCAGGTGGATGTAACAAAGTGCGTGGTGAGCACTGACCCAAACTTCTGTTCGCACTGGCTGGTGTCTGCTGTCTGTGCCTTTGGACACTACCTGAAGACGGTCGTGCTACACCTCCTCCGCGAGAAGTGAAAGAAAAAGAGACACAGTGGATTGTGAGCACACTGCCCGGCACTGCACACCACCAACACCACTAAAGCACCCACTGCTTTGGAATATGTTTACACTTATTTGCACTGAGCCTCGTTGATGAACACCCACCCATTTCACAGACAGCGAACTTTTCTCGCGTCTTTGGCTTCCCCTTGTCTATTTATTATTAATGGTTATATAATGGCACACATCGGATGCAAACGTATAAAAACTGCATCTGTGAGCAAGTTTAGTTTTTCATTTTTCATCAAACTGCACAGCTTCCAGTCTTGGTGCCTGTTTTGCAGGTATTTGGCTGCTCCTAGTGGTACCAAATGGTAACTACTAGGCCTATACACAGAGAAGTCAACTCAGGATAATCCTGAGGCCATTCATGAAAACTTGGTATTAGAGGAAATCTACATTTTTTGCCTGGGCTGTAATAGTTCATGCTAGATAAAGAGAAAATTCAACATATTTTTGACCAACTAAGGACTGTACAAAATTCCTTGATATCGAGGGATCAGAAAAAACATGGTTTGTGTATTTGTTTTTCTTTTGACTTTGCAGTCTGAAATGCTCAGAACAGCACATTCTCTGTTCAGGCCTTTATTGTTCTTATCATGATTGGCAGCAGCTTTGACATTTTCTCTCCATTCCTACAGTCACTCTTCAACATTGTTCTGAAAGCATTTAAAGTGACAGTTCGTCCCAATGTCAGATTGACAGATTTTCCTCTGGCCCTCTTATGCTGTATGTCAGTCTACATTATTCAGGCGTGAGTTGCTGTTTTTGGAGGTGACAGGTTTATATATGTCTGCTTTCACTTGAAAATAATACAATTAAATGACAACGGCCCTTTGATGCTCAAAGCATCGAAAACTCAGCAGCAATGCCTCTTACGCTAAATCATCAGCCCTGTTTCACTATTTTCTTTTTACAAAATAAAATTTTACCATAGCATGAATATGTCATCATCGCTAATTCCAGCGATACAGTTAACAAATGTTAACTGTAAAAAAACAAACAAAAAACAGTTAACAAATGTAGAAAGAAAGTCAGTCTCTCATCAAACTGCTGACAACAAGGTTTGCAGATAGTTTTTATTTATTTTTTTAATGAGTAACCCTGTCATGATTTCTGCAAAACGATGCATGGTGTGCTGTTATCTTTAAAATGGCAAATGTGATCTTGACCTTGATGAAACAAATTTGGATGGAAACCCATTAGGTGATCATTGTGTTTAAGTGTGATTACATTCTGATCAATACTCCAGGAGGAGTAATCCTCACCGTGGCATAAGCTTGTTGGTTCTACAGTTGGATGAAACAGGTGGCATTGAGCCAAACTCTAGAAGGATCAATAAGACCATAGACCAGAGGGAATCAATGCAGTTTTGATTTTGGGGTGAAATGTACCTTTGTTATAAAAAGGGTAGACCATACATTTATTCTACCTGGTGAATCCATAGTAAACATTAAGATTACAAATGTTGAAGCTGAGATTAAGCTTTATCCCGAGTTATTTATGAATACTTTTTTATTAGGATATAAAATTAGAACATTTTAGGTTTTTTAATGGGCTTTGATGCTTACACCAAGTCTCTATGTACAGCCCCTTAATTCATCTTCAGTCTTCACTGTGAGGGAGTTTGTTATATTGCTGAAAACTGCAGTGAGTTGCAACGTGTTTTTTTCTGAGCACTTTCATTTCATGAGTAGAATTTATTCCATGAATAATTTCACTGTTTATATGGCATGTTAAATACATAAATGTTTGTGAATGGTCTTTGACTGTAAATGTGCAGACATAAATAAAATATTCTTAAAGCAATCTGTAAAGTCTGGAGCCATTAATGATGATTTTCAGCTGTTTTCCAAAGGACAAGCGCTTGTAAACCCTGAATAAATGATTCCTCGTTACAAAGTATTAATTAGTGGTCTAAGTGCATGAAATGAAAACACCTGTATTTACAGTTTTTTTTTTCAGTGTTTATGTTTCAGTCTTTTTTGTTTCATATCCCAGGACTGATCTCTAGTTGTACATCATTTACTGAATTGTTTTCAAATGTAAACTTACTGTTGTATGTGTAGGCTGCAAAGAAACTGCATAAACACTGAAGGCTATTGTTACCGCTGAACCACATTCAGTAAAATATCTGTTAAACTCTTATAATAAATAAAGTCAGATTTTGGGGTCTTCATTCACAGGAAAACCTTTCAGAAAAGAATTGGCCTCATTTGACTTAATGTAAGCTGTTTACAGCCCATTCACCTACACTCTTCTATTGATAACACTACTACTACTACAATTTTCATCATTTATAAGTCTATATTTTCTATATAATCAATAAGCTAACAGTTGGGTTTATTTTTTTAAATTAATTTCCATATAAACCTCTAAAGACCGTGCCTCTTTAGATGTTTTGACATTCAGTTGGTTATATACAGCAGGGAAATAAGGGTTTCTCCTGAACGCACCTTTAGTGTTTATTTGTGTACGTGAACGCACCATGAAACCGCTTTCCACGGGATGGATACGTCACGCACTCCCGATTGGTCCTAAAGCCGCCACGCCAGATTCGATTGGATATTGACGGAAACGTCCCGGCTGTTTCCGGATTCCGCAGCAGGTTTCTCTTCCCATTGGTCCAGCGTGTCCGAGTGCAGAGAACAACAAACAAGATCGGGTGAAGACCGTCGGGATGGATGCAGGTAAGCGAGATTTTACAGGAAAATATGATATTTTACTCCCTTAGCAATCTCGTTAGAAGTCATAATGACTACAGCATCACTCATTAACACCTGGCGGTGGCACTTCTGCTCTGTCGCTTTGGGATCAGCGTCGCCAGCTGGCAGCCTGCCTCGGTGACGCTAGCTGCTAAAGTGATGACTAAAGCTAACTGCTAATTATCGTTAGCTTGCTGCTACTGTTGCTAAATCTGCGGGATTCCCGCTTTGACAACTTGTGGTGTCATCACAAAACGTTCATTAAGGTGTCGTTTCTTGTGATGCCATATGTTGTTCTAAATAATTTGTCCTCTATACATCTTTTGACTTTTTAGCTAACGTTTTGTTACGCCCAAGATGAGCATCCCTGCTGATGCGCTGTCACCATCACATCGGTTATCAAGCTGCTGTTAGCCTGACTCTTGTTAGTTATGTGGGCAACACGTATTTTTAAAGCTCGGTGGGAATATTAAGGCATGTTAAGATATTTTCTAGTGTCTGATAACAGGTTTAATGGGAGTTTTATGCAGTTTTTAATCAGAACTCGGTCATTTATTGATGTTTGTTACTGTTGTGCTGAAGTTTATCTTGGCTTTGAGCGCAGTGTTTCCAGCTGCAGTGAGAAGCCTGAATCTAGCCTGTTATTGTGGTCGGACATTGACCATCCTCATCAAGTCTTTAGGGACAAAAATTAAATTTTATGTTTTTTTGTTATTCAGTTATTGAAAGTCCCTTAACAGTTCCTTGTATCTGCTCGTTTAATGTTTTTAGCTTTTAATGATAGAAACTCCCTCAGCAGCATTGTTAGCACTTGCTCCAAAATCACGGGGGTTAGGCAGAGAAATTTGTGGTCACTTATTATTAAACATCTTGACCAAGTTTTATCTTTTGTGTTCAGGAAGTAACAGGTCGTTACTACCTTGTAACCCACTGTAGAACAAGTAGAGATATTTAAAATCCTTCATTGTATCAGCTATTAAATCCCTTAACTTTTGCAGTGGTAATTTAGAATAACTTCGTTTTATGATTACTAATTTTTATACACATTTCTTTGTCAATCTATTATGTATTTTTTGTCCATCTTCTTCACTTTATTGCTATTTTGCAAGTAGGTTGTGTAGGTAAGTTGCAAATGAATTGCTTTTTTTTGGATCAGTAAAATTATCTGACTCTGAGTTTAAAGTAAGAGCATGGAGGAATCATTTTCAGGCTGATGGATGAGTGTTTTTCACTGACTCAAGTGGCATGGCCTTTCAAAATAAAGTCCTCTCAATATAAAAGTGACCTCTCCATACCTGTCTTTCAAATATTGATTGACTTGCTGTCTCCAACTTTGTTTCACATTTAAAATGAAGCACCAGAAGCTTACAGGATCCAGATGGTACCTGCTCTTTGCTCCTAGCTCCCAGCAAGGCTGCTACTTCCAGAGTTTAATTCAGCTTCATACATTTTCTTCGTGGTTACTAGCTACTCATGACTCAAAAGGCAGTTTTCTGGTTGTTTTAGAGGGTGTGCTAGATTAAGCTTAGATAGGCTGGTTCAGATTGGGGTTAACTAAACAGGAAAAAAACTTAATTGAGAACAATTTTTTTTTAGGGAATTTCGCTGTGTGTGTTATGTAAGCAGTGAGCGATCGTAAGAAACAAATAGACAGTCGTTAACCACATTAACCTGACACTAAACAAATACAGGTTCTCCTGGTCTTGTGGCAGTGTTTTTCTTTCTTTCGACTGTTTCTTTTAGGAGTCCTCATGTTAGATAATCTACCTCCATCTTACACTATGTCTTCCATCCACTTCTGTCACACCAACCATCTCCATGTCCTCTCTCACTACATCCACAAATCACATCTTTTGTCTTCTTTTTTTTAGCCTTCCACATCTTTTGCCCATATATCTGTTGTCTCTCAACTGCACATGTCAAAAACCTTCTCAGCCTTACTTTTAGACTTTGTCTCCAAACTGTGACATGTACGCTGCCCTTTTGATGTATGTGTTCCTAATCTCATCCATCCTGGTCACGCCCAATGAAAATCTAGCGTCTTCACATCTTCAGCTCTGCCACCTCCAGATCACCGGCCTGTTTTTTCATCAGTGCCACAGTCTCAAAACCATGCATCTCAGCAGGTCTCACTACCATCTTCTTAACCTTCCCTTTTGTTTTTTCTGCATTTGACATAAACCACTTCAGACACTTCTCCACCCACTCCGTCCTACATGCACTCCCTTCACCTCTCTTGTGCACTGTCCATTACTTTGGATTGCTGATCCTGTGCATGGCAGGCAGTCTGCAGAAGATTATATGTTGACTTAGAGAAGTTACTACAAACAAGAGGTTTTTTCCTGTAAAAAGGGAGATTTTCCTTTCCGCTGTCACCAAGTGCTAAATCATAGTGGGTCGCCTGATTGCTGAGATTTTCTGTGTTATTGTGAGGTCTTTACCTTACAGTTTCACGTGCCTTGAGGCAAGTGTTGTTGGGATTTAGGTACTATATAAATTGAATTGAATGGTTTGGATATTAAGTGCTTAAAGGCTGGACACTGCAACAAATGTGAGCACTTGATTTAATCAGTTTCTTAAAAGCCCCCAAATTTTTGTTCCTGGATGTGGTTTAGAGTCCACTCCAGCAACTAATGGATACTCCATCTGAACTCCCTGAGAGATAGGTTCATGTTTATCAGCTGCAGTAAATGGCCTGTGATAATGCTGGTGATCACCTGACATTTACTGACAAGTCTGAATATGGTCCTCACTCACATGCACTGCACAGCAAGAGATAAACCACCTCAGCTGTCAGCGTGTAAGCTGCCCGAGTTGAGTAGAGTGAAAACAGCTTTATCTTCCCTCAGACTCTTTTTTTTTTTTTTTTTTTTTGCAGCTACCTTGACATACGACACACTTCGATTTGTTGAGTTTGAAGATTTTCCCGAGACCTCGGAGCCTGTGTGGATCTTGGGTAAAGAATACAATGCACTCACAGGTGGGACTTGAATCTTCTCGCATAAAAATTTCAATACCTATGAAACACATCACAAAGTCAGCCACTCTGTTTTGTCATTATGATGTGGATATGTTGTAATGTGCCGATGTCTGTATTGTAGAGAAAGATGAGATTTTATCAGATGTCACTTCACGGCTGTGGTTCACATACAGAAAAAACTTCCCACCGATTGGTAAGTTCTGGTCTTCATAACTTCTGTCACACGTTTCTAATGTGACCTCTGGCTATCAAAAGGAGTTATGGGTGACCCATGAATCTGTTACAGGGGGGACCGGACCAACATCAGACACGGGGTGGGGATGTATGTTACGGTGTGGCCAGATGATTCTGGGCGAGGCCTTGGTGTGCAGACATTTAGGAAGAGGTAAGGCGGACTTTATCTCTGCGTGGCACCAACAGCCTGTCTCCAGTGAATAGAAACGAGGGTCGTTTTTGACAGATTTCATAACTGACCTTTTTGTTTTCAGATTGGAGATGGGCCAAAGGACAGAAACAAAGAGAGGAGTACATCAGTCTTCTCAACGCCTTCATCGACAAAAAAGACAGCTATTATTCCATCCATCAAATTGGTAAGTAGTGAGCTTCAAACCATTCCAGTTACACCAAGGCTTGAGTGAACGACTTCACAGGAAATTCTTCTTCTGTTCTTATTAAATGCTGCAGCTCAAATGGGAGTTGGAGAGGGAAAGCCTATTGGCCAGTGGTATGGACCAAACACAGTTGCCCAGGTTCTAAAGTAAGTACAGGAAAGTACGACAAGGGTCCATTGTGGACTTCACGCAAACACACAAAGCCAAAATGAGCAAGAAATCCCCACATTTTGAAAGCTGGAACAGAGGAATTACTGGCTCTGTGCTCTGTAAATTAAAGATTAAAGCTGTGCTGTGCAGCATTTTTGTGAGCAAACAACAGTTTTTGTGTTCAGCATTTCTCTTAAGCACACATTTTTTGTGTCTTTAAGGCCTAAAACATTTTTAGTGCATTTCTGCTGCTCTCAAGTTTATGGGGTAATTGTTGACTCCTTGACAAATCTGGGATCCACCTGTTGCTACTTGTTGGACTTTAATCCATTAGCTTTTTCTGCTCATTGGTCAGTTATTTAT